ACTTTTTATTAAAGAACCCTTTTCTTCACGTTTAATTGAAATTAAAAGCAAGAGTGATGTAGTATACAAGTGTACTCTTATCTAAATCCTCGCTAGTGCAAAGATCACATATCACCCCATTTTCGGCCTTGCCAATAATTTATTTAATCGAGCACACCATAAGATCAAGTGTGTAATAAATTACATTACAACACACTGAATTACAATAATAACAGAATTGAAGCTTACCCCTTGTAGACATCACCAAAAGATCCTCTTCCAATAAGCTCCAAAGAACTAAACCTTGCAGCCACTGCCTCTGCTATACTCGCCACATCAGACATTTTGTTCTAGCAATCTTTTTCACCTTTCACCCACTTCGCACACACTAGATTCCCAAACTGAACCACAATTTGAGACTAACTCAACCATCTCATCTCCAGATTTCCCTCATTTTCTGTACAAATAATCCAATAGGAAACCTCAAATTCACAACCAAAGTTTGTCTTTACCAATCCCAACTGCAGCCTTCAATATCAAATCTGGAATAGCATTGGGGAAAACACCGAAGAAATACAAATTATCCACACCAACCAAAACATGAATTTGACAACGAAACAGAATCCAAATTCACAAAAAGAACAATTGAAATACACATGAGATAATGCGCAGCAGCCCTTGAACCCTAAGTAAAGCAAGTGAGTCTCAACATCAACATAAGAAATGTGACAGGTTGGAGGAACTAAGATACGCAATGGCGACGAGCCAACGGGAAAAAAAAAGATAATGCGAAACACTGGGGGAAAAAAAAAGTCAACATCGAAAGTGAAACAACAACAAATGAGTGGCTTCAAAATGGGTTTTTCAATTTATGGAAATCCAATTGCAATCCATTCGTTCGGAGATTGAGATTCAGAGACTTACCCAATAATGCGATTCCAGAAAAAACAACGAGGAACTGGTATTTGAGCAATAACAACACAGATCTCTTCCTCCTTTGCTCTCTGTGTTTTGCAGAGGGAGGCTTCGTGAGAGCCGCGAAATCAAAGAGAACAAATTTGTTGGTTTTAATGGAACTGCCCCTTCGCTCTTCTCTCCTTTCTTCTTCTTCCTTGTTTCCTTTTTTTCCCTCTTTTTTTCTTTCTTTCTATCGCAGACTGCAATAATTCTACAAAAAAATTTATCTACGGGCTTCACTATGAACCGAAACCCCAAGATTTGGACAGATATGAAAGTGAAAAATTGGATGGGATGATTAAACAAAACGCACCGTTTTATCATTATAGGTAATTTTTTAATGGTTATAATTATCAATTTGTCATTTGCAAACAAAAAAAAAATTATCAAATTTGTAATAAAAATAAATAAATTATCAAATTGTCTCGTGTTTAACATGTTAAGGCATATATCATCGATGAAAAAGTGAAAAGCTTGAATTTCATCCTCACATTGTCAACTCAAAATGTTCTATTTAGTCTTCACAGTTTAAAGAATTTTAATATCAACTGGTTAAAGTATTAATAATCTTTTTAAAAATGGAGAGTTGAAATTTATACCTAGCTCACACATCTTTACTGTACTCAAAAAATTACTTTTGAAAATATAGTGTATGTTTTATTCACATATTAAGAAATTGGTATTTTTTTTGTTATTATTATGGCTAACTATGCTAATTAACTGTAATAGGATCGTATACCATTGGATGAATTTCAAGTAGATAAACAATTTAATATGGATTTTATGAAAATCTTATCACACCACGCTAAACTAAAACATTGAAATCTACCTAAGTCAAGTTGAAATTAAGGTTGAGTGATAAAGAGTTCATTTGAAACTTTTAAGATTATAGGTATCAAATTAATATTAAGTACAAACTATATAATCCAATTGGTAATTTAATCTACTTTAATTTATGAAATAGAAGCTGTTGTGTGCAGTGTCCCTCTATTTTTTTATTATTAATTTCTAACTAATCCATGATATACTGTCAAAAAGTGGTACTACTTACTCTTCAACTTTCAAACATCTTTAATCTTTAACCTCAAAAGTTATTAGTTTAATACAAATTATATTCTACCTACTTTGACTATTGTATAAAAAATATATATATATATTATTATTAGCACTTTAATTATTATTCCGTTTTTCAATAATTAAGAAATTATTACAAATTACAATATTGTAACGTGTTGTTTATGTACGAAAAAGTAATGTTAGCAGTCGAATAATGTATTTTTTAAATCAAAATGTCACCCGTAATGTGGTGAGAGTTACATTCACTAAAGAAAAAAAATGCATGTCAACCTGAGAATATTTCATTTGATTAAGACACCTATTTCTGACTAAAATGTTGTGAGTTTGAATATCTACCCCACATATTGTACTAAATGAAAAAAAAAATGATCATAGAAATTATTTAAAATAATTTTAAACTATAAATTATGATATAGGTAAATAATAGAGATATAAATTGCAATGATACATAAAATGAAAGAAAATAAAATAATAGATAACCAAAATATAAATATAACAAAAAATATGGTTAAAGTATACAATTAAATGTGAATAAAATAACTAACGAGAGTGCAACTCAACTTAAGAAAATATTGATCTATATTTCCAATCTTTTAATTTTCAAATTGTACTTAATAAATATCATTCTATTATATTTATTATTATATTTAAAATGTATTTTTTAGGATTTAAGGATTATAATATATCCTCATCCGTTAAAATAAAAACAAAATCCTTTGCAAAAAGATAAAAACAAAAACAAAATTAAATGATTTTATTTACTATAATTTTCTGCTGCAATTTCCGGCTGCTACGGCGATAGCAAAGAGCAGCCCAATTGGAAAAGCCCTTAAAATATTTGGGCCACTTTATAGACGTTTAGAAGAATATTGGGCTACAACCGGCCCATTAGAGTTCTCATATTCACTATAAATACCAAACGTTTGTTATAATTTATAAATTTATAGATATTTTTTTTAGCATCACATTTCTAGGTATTTGGACCTACAATTTTAATAAAAAGTACTAGTACCTTAACCATGCATTAAAAAAAATCAATTTATTTGTTGACGTTTTCATGTCAAGTATAGTTTTAATGTATTAAAAAAAAAAAGATAAATCGCTATTTAAAATGCATTAAGTCATATTTAATAATAAAAAAAGAATAATAAAAGAGGGTGATATTGAGAATTTGTCCAACAAACAAATGGTCAAACAAAAACAAATCAATATAAATTGGGTTTAAACATGTGTTCACGAGCTAAATTTTGACCAAACATGCACCAAATATATATGCTAAAAATATTGCCCCTAACTTATTTTATTTTTAAATACAATTTTATTTGTTGATTCAAACGTAATTCAATAGATAAAATATTTATTATCTTAATTCTCTCTCATTAATGGGTTGATTTACTTATATATTTGTTTAACTAAAAAGGTACACGATTTTATCAAAAGTTACTACTATCACAATAAACATGGATGAAATGATAGTCGATAATAATGTCCCGTGTTTCTTAATAATTTTTACTTTTGAATTTTAAAGCAACATAATTGAAAAACATTTACTCCATGTGTTTCTTATTGACTTTTATAATCTTAATTATGTTGTGAATTTGAGCTGAGTTGTATTGAAACACTTTGGTTTCAACCATATATATATACACACACCCACGAGAGATTATTTTAATTTCGATACATGAAGATGAAAAAAGTTCAAGATTCAGTTTTATTGTCATGAGAGCTAAATTAATTTATTTTGGGTTTAGATATTAACTAATATCTTAGTAAATTATTCTTTTTTTACAACAAATTGGGAAAGTTTGATTAGTTAATGGTCTGTCCAGCCTTTGGTTGGAAGAAGCTCCGGTTGCCACGGACTCCGGGAGGACTTAGGACACTTGAACTTCGTTGGTGCGAGAATCCACGTTTGATTGTTTTCTGAGCTTTTCCCTCTTCGTTTGATCGTTTGATTCTATGTTCATATTGACTGGCGAGTTAAATTTTATCTTAACAATGTATATGTTAATATATTGAGATAGAAGAGTAAAAATTTAATAAAAAGTTGTCGAAGCTCCACCCCACAAATTGTACTAACCAGTTGTATATATAGCTCGTAAAGCAAAATAAAAATCACCCCAAATTCTTTCAAAGCATCCATCTAGTTAACGACAAATTAAATCATTGTTTTTAAACTTTTATTTTCAAATAAAAGATTTGGGAATGATCAAATCTAAATCAGTGTTTGTTTGAGATTATGGGGTATTAACTGTTAAGCACCCTCTTTCCCTGTTTACTTTTGTTTTAAATCTAAATCAATAATTATCCTTTTTTCCTTTAATTATCGTTTAATCATTCATAATAATCAAATTAAATTAATTGTCGGTTTCACTCTTTGATCCAGATTTTCACTCAATGCCAGTTCATAAGCAGCTCTAGAAAGCTGCTGATGCCATTCATTTCGTCACCATTATATCATTTAATTTCCCATTATCACCGAAATTGGAATCTTACGCCTGAATTTCTTAATGGATAAAAGTTAATTTAGACCAAAATATTTGTGAAAATAAAAATAGTATATTTATTCCAATTAAATTTTTTTCTATGATTTAATCTCTTTCCACCTCATGGGGTTCTAGTGATTTATATTTACAATGTTCTTTTTCAATTTAAAATTCATCGTCTAAAAAGTTTTCACCTTGTATTTTAACATTTTTCAATTTTACCGCCATTGTCATTAATAGAAATTTTGAATGGTAAACTTTAGTGAATTTATGAAATTTCACAAATAAATTTATCTAAGAAAAATAAAATAAAATTTGTACCTATTCACTTAGTATAATATAAATATGTCATGTAAGTTTATCATTAGCAAATTTTAACATTAACGAACGATGAGAGTCTAAATTTGAAAAATATTAAAACCTAATAAACTAAATCGAAACTTTTCAAACCAATATATGGACTAAATTAAAAAAAAACCAAAACATAAAAGACTAAAACGTATATTATCTGTAGTTTAATGCATTCTATCACCTAAATTGTGATGTATCGTCATTGAGACGATATCCGCTTAATATAGGAAACACAAGGGATAATTTTTTTAGTTCAACAATTGATGGGTTGGAAAATCGAAACATTAGATGGTAACATATATTTTATCTATACCAAACTTGAACGGGTACGAAACTTTTTTTTTAGTACAACATGTAGGGGCGGGGGATCAGATATATGTCAATTACCACTAAGGTATGCTCACTTTGGCCACGAAACTTCTTTTCCGGGAATTGAAAATTCCCCCTAAGATATTTCTCTACTAGTATAAATGAACCCGAATTATAAAGTAAATTATTGATCCTCATTTGCAAAATTTTAAAATTTAAATATAAGAATCAAAATGTAATGTTTCAAAATATAAAAATTAAAACAAGAAAGATATAACCATATAGCTAGGCTGACAAATTAGACGCAAAAAGAAAAAGAAAATAAAAATGATTGAGAGTATGATGAGAGAAATCATGGAATTTCATTTGATCTTTTTTCGCATGTTTGTGTCAATGTCACGTATGGTAATTAGGAAAAAATAATTTCTAAATCTCCAGAAAATATCTTTGAATAGAATATTTATTTTTTGAATGATATTTCTTTATCTATTTTTTGTCTTTTAATTAAATAATTTACAACCTCTTTTCTTTCTTTAATAAAAAAATAGTTTCAACTAAAGAGGACAAAAAACATAGACCAATTTAAAAGAAAAGTTAGAGTGATGACAAATGGTATAGCCGTATACGTTATAATGGACACATATGCCATATGGTGTAGTCAATTCTATCACCATTGCTTTCGAATAATTATTTTAGCATTTTCTATGCTATTCTTTCGCCATATAATTTTAAAATAAATAAGTTAAATAAAATAATTTCAATTTTAATATTTAAATATATTAAATCTTATAAATTTCCCCACTTATTTTATTCTAGTTCTTTGGTTTTGTGTATTATGGTTGATTCTTAGCAAATTATTTTTGTAAAGTATTTTATCAGTAATTTTTGGTAACTTACCTAATGTCTGGCTTAAATTGAACTATTTCTATAATGTTCAGGATTAGAACAAATATTTGGCACGACTCTCCCTCTCTCTGTTCTATCGTCCAAAGCATGTCGGCCGTTCGAAGTTCTGGGGTTGGGTCGAATAGGACCAGACCCAATCAATTGAATATGTAGACTAAAAGAAACCTCATAAACGAAGGAAAGGGGAGAAAGTGAGGAAGAAACGGATGTAGAAATAGAAACCACCTCCGAGACGAAGGGACTAAACAGGAATAAGAGGGATCTACTGAAGAAGATACTTCTCCTTCCCTTTTTTCGGAAGAAAAAGAGGATCCAGACAAAATCGTGTTGTTGTAGGTTCTCCTCCGCTGAGACGACCCTTTTTTTTTTTACTGGAACATTCCTAATTCCATTTCACCTGAGTGAGGGTTTCCAAACTATGGTGGGCTGTCTATTTTCTCCCCCAATAAATTACCTGAACTCATAAGGATTTTGACTGCTATCTCCATACTCGACCCTGCAGGTAGAGGCCTTAATCGACCACTACCAAATAACGAGGATCGCTTTAAAATATTTAACATCAATATCAAATGAAATAAACAACATCATTTAATCAAATCTTTTTTTTTTAAGTTGTCATGTTGGTTGCTGTTTAGCTAGACTCCGGTGTGAGATTTTATGGATTCATTCAAATATTTCGACTTGATTTTGAATGTATTATTAATTAAATTTCGTGCAATTACACTCTTCGATCCCTAATAATCTTCACCAATCATTCAAGTTTAAAGTTCAAAATTGTTTCACTAACAAAATCAGGAGCAACCTAATCATAGATTAATCAAAGTATTAGCAACCTCTCTGGAAAGTTAGGAAATTCAAATATTAACTCCAAATTGAAATTATAATAGGCAGGATGAAAATCAAAATAAAAATTCCTAATTTATTCTAATTATTCTCTCTTCACGGTTGGCCATTATAATAACAAAAGGATAAACGATATAATTGAGGGATTAGTCAAATTAATTAATTAATTAATTAAGAGGGTTTCAGAGATTTAAGATTTGGAGATTCGATGGTGGGCCCCACTGAAGATACGGTCCCCTAGTTTTTTTTCTTTTTCATTTTTTTGTTATGTTTTTAATTTTCTGAGAGGGAGTGGGCCATGGGCCGGTCAATGGGGAGGACGGGAGGCTCAGCCCAGTACTTGAGATCTATGATTTATAAATTATATATATTAACGGAATTTCTCATTTCCAATCCCCACGCGCGCGTAGAGTCGCGTCCGGAAAACGAGAGGGAGAGAGCCATCGCCCCCGCCTACGTGGAGCGCGTGACGCGTGGGTTTTAAGGGAGCGCGCGTGACGTGAGTTCGGGAAGCAGTGCCCCGCAATTCGTGCGCTTCAACTTTCTTTATTACAAACGATGCACCGACTCACTGCCACGGCACGTGCGCACGTGATACGATTTTTCTCCAACATTAATTAATTAATTAATTGTTTTCTCTGAAATAATTTACCCCTAATGTGTTTTCTGTCAACTTTAGCCACCTTTTTCTTCCTTGTTTTTGATAGTCGCACCCCTTCCTTGGACAAAATGACAATATTGCCCTCAAGTTTTTCCCCTCTCTCTCCTCTTTTTTTTTTGAAACTTATCATTTTGCTATATAGCTTATGATTTCACAAATCAAGCTTTGGATTTGGAAATGAATGAAAACTTTATTTGCTTAATGATATTTATCTTGGCCCCCAATTCAATAATTGCAATGTGACTTGAAAAAAATCTATATCTATGAGATTATCATTTCATATAATTACATCAAGATTGTCATAAAATATTAGTGATTTAATTGCGAATAATTGTGATCTTAATACATGAAAAGCACATGCAATGATTGATTGATTAAAGTTAAAAATCAATCAATAAATAAAATTTAAGACTATTGAGTGAGGTTATATATATTATTTCTTTCTTTAGCAAGACATGACATGACATTGTAATCTCATCATTTGTTTTATCAAGAGAACTTTTTGACATGCAAAGACATTTTTAGGAATAATTAGTTTGGTATATATCTCTTATTAAAGTATAATTTGGAGGGAATAATTTTTTTTAATGACATGGAAATTCCTTTTAACTAGAGACGTAATGAGGTTGAGTTTTCATGAAAATCAATGTCGAACTCTATCGTATCAATGCAATAACATAAAATACAAATGAAGAAAAAATTAAACAGGTCAAATCAATCAAGTGAGGGACAAAATAACTCACTATTGATGATAATTGATGTAAATGAGTTAATGTGATTGAATTGATCTTTAAAGAATTCATTCATCATGAAGTGAACAACAAACTTTATTATTCATAAATCCTCACTACTCGTAATTAATCTACTTAACAAGTTTGATTTATCACGTGAACACGCCATATAATTACTAATAAGCATTAAATTTACAAAATTAACTTATTATATACCTTCTTAAAAGTTGGATACGACTAAATTGATAAAATTCAAATTCAAGAGTTAAGTTTGTAGTTTGGTATACTTGACACGTCATAGGAAGTTAAGTTAAAATATATATTTAAATAAAAGCAAAAGGAAGTGTCATTATTTATTATAAAAGGAAGGGCACAATTGGGATTTGGCAGAGCAATTATGAGAAATTAAGAGGATGAGGCGGGGGAGTGAGGGAAGGGATGATTACTTTTAACGAAGAGGAGCCGTACGAACATGACATAATTACCCCTATGGGTTCGTACAAGTTAAAGGAAAAAAAGAGAAAAAAAAAAGACTGACATAATAAATAATAAATAATAAATACTATGATAATGTGATAATAAACTAATAATCTCTTAAAAAAAACGCATAAAAATCTAACAATTCAGAGTTTGAGAATCCCACCCTCTTTGCCTTTTGACTGCCAAGATTCCGTGTGCCAAATCCCTCTTTTGGGGTTTTATTATAAAATTAAAAATAAATATAAATATATTTCTTAAGGGGGTGTTTAGTTGCTTTGATGGGGAATTGAAATTAGTTTCCCGTCATGTCAATATGAGTATAGTTTAGCGGGTAAAATACCTTACTCTTTTCTAGGTTAGAAGTTCAATCTCTTGGTATTAATAAAAATGTAAATTTAGAAATAATTGTGTTACTTTTATCTAATATGTAAATCACATCTTTTTATTTTGAAAACAGTTTTATACATCATTTCATCACGATAAAATACACCTTAATATCATCATCTTAAACTTTTGAATGGTAATTATTATTAATTTTTTTTTAATATTGGTAAGCACTGGTTGAATTATCATGCTAACTTTTAAACTTATAAGTAAAAGCAGTGTTGATAATATATATATATGTATACATATATACATATATATATTTATGAGTTTAGTGATATTTTTTCTCCTTTCAACTCAAATGAAGTTAATCAATTGAAAGGCATGAGCAAAACCGAACATAGTTCATCTAGTTAAGGTACTAATCTCAAACTAAAAGGTTGTGAATTCAAATCTCACTCCATATGTTGTATTAAAAAAAATCAATTCAAGGGTGTGATTTGTAAATTTAAATTATATTTGTGCCTTTTGTATTTAAAAAAAAATCAAAATTGAATATTTTTTCTCAGATGAAAAAGAAATGTTAGACTAATTAGTTGAAGTACTTATCTAAAGTAAAGTGGAAAAAGGTGCAAGGGATGGAAGTAATGATTTTCCAATTTTTAGAAATTTATTTCAACCTCAATTTCTTCCTTTTGGTTCAAATTGTTAGGTAAAAGTAACCAAAAAAAAGAAAAAAGAAAAAAAAAAAGAAAAAGATAGTTATAATTGATTTTTTACTTTTGATTTTTGATTTTCACTCAATTGGGAAAAGAGTATGGCTACTTTCTTGCCATGTTTTACTTTGAGGTACAATTTTGGTTGAGGCATTACTTGGCTTCCAGCTAAATAAAGCAGGCAAAAACAACTTTTGTAATGAATCTTCCAATTTTATACCATTTTTGCACTTTCAAAATTTTGAGACAAAATTAATACTTACCCATTACCAAAATCAAAGTGTTCTAGTTTCTTCACTTTTCCCCAAAGTTTTTACCCATTATCTTCCAAATTATGGGGTTTATTTTTTCTTTTCCTTAAATATGAGCCTATTTGAAAAAAAAAAAAAAGGTGTTACTAACTTGTTTTACAGGTAATTTAGGCATTTTTTTTTATAACAATTTTTAAATTTTTTATTTATGTTTTTAAAAGATTTAAATACTGTAACTTTGGTTTGTTTTGGTTCTTTCAAAATATTTTTAATTTTTATTCATTTTAGTTCATATACTTTCAAAACATTCAATTTGGTCTACGTACTTTTAAAAAGTGACTGATTTGATCCTTATATGTAAAATTTTAGCACAAATTTCATGTACAATGAAAATTATTTAATACAAATTTATGACTATGTTTAAAAAAATTTATTGAGTGACATATTATGTTAAAATTTGGATAGAATACGTTGAGATAAAAATAAAAATAAACAAATTTGTCACTTTTTATAATCATTTTTACCAACATATTTGAGAACAATATTTTCCTACTTTCCACCCTGAAGTTTATTTTTTATTTTTGATAAAAAAAAATAAAAAGTCTCTCTCCTATTTGTTTTCTCTTCGATGTAAAAACGAGTTTCTAAAAATCATTTCTTTTAATTTTATAAATTTAACTTAGAGTTCGAGAATGTTTCTAAAAAATAGATAACAAAACTAAAAAATACATAAGCGAATGTAGTATTTATTATCTAACCATTTAAAAAACAAAACAAGATTTAAACCGTGTAGATATAATATGACTCATAAAAGTTAAAGTTATATACGTCGAGCAAATGAATTGTCACGAGAAAACACTATTTAAAACTCAAAGAACCAACAATTTCTTAGCCTAGAATACACTTTCAACCTTCCCTTGTACCCAAAGGGGATTCTTAAAAAGAGACAAGGTTTTGGAAAGAAGAAAAAAATAAGAAAAAAGGAAACAAATGTTAGAATGAAGGTACCAAAAAGAACAATGCAAAATTTCCCTCTCTTCTCCCTCGTCACAAATCACAGAAATTGGTTTTGTGAGAGAGAGAGAGCTTCAAAAGAGGAAAAAGCTGTCCCACTCCCACCACTATTTTGCATAGTTTAGTTACAATCATACAAAGACCAAGCCAAACCCCTTTTCCCCTCCTCTAGCCCTCCCCCTCCCCCCTCCTTTTTTTTTGTTTTTTTATACCCTCTTCACTCTCTGTCTGCTAAAGATTACAAAACCTGCTTGTTTGGGACAAGCAAGAGGAGGGGAGGAGCAAGAGGGGGAATTTGCTGCAAGTTGGAAGAAATCAATGGATGAAGAAGAAGTCTAGAAGAGCCATTTGTGGTGTAAAAACACTGGGAAGAGGAAAAGAGCCTCAACCCAGATAATAAAACTTAGAGAGAGAAAGGGGGGGGGGTGTGTAGAGTGAAGTAATAAGAGAAAAGAAAGCAAAGAAAAGGGAGAGAGAAGAAGGGCATTGTGTGGGTGAGACAGAGAGACAGAAATGGTGGGCTCAGGATCATCAGACAGGAGCAAAGAAGCTGTTGGGATGATGGCCCTTCATGAGGCCCTCAGAAGCGTCTGTCTCAGCTCAGACTGGACTTACTCTGTCTTCTGGACCATCCGCCCTCGTCCGTATGTCCCTCTAATTCCACCCCTTTCTCTCTGTTTCTGATTTTGTAGCCTTTTTTCTCAAATGGGTCTCTTCCATTTTCATCAGACGGGTCAGAGGAGGCAATGGATGCAAAGTTGGGGACGACAATGGCAGTTTGTAAGCTCTATCCCTCTTTTTTTTTCAAGGAAATGGAGAAAAATTCTGCCCCATGTTAACGTTTCTTTGAATCTTGTGAAGGATGTTGATGTGGGAAGATGGGTTTTGCCGAGGGAGGGTTTCAGAGTGCTTGGAGGAGATTGATGGCGATGACCCTGTTAGGAAAGCCTTCAGCAAGATGTCAATTCAGTTATATAATTATGGAGAAGGGTGGGTACTGGGTAGGTGTTTTGGCTTGTGGAGTTCCATTTCTTTGTCTTCTCTCTTTCTCTCTCTCTAGGATTCTTCTATGTAATAGAGAGGAATAAGGATTAAGGGAGGCTTTTGCTCATGTTTTGTTTTATGTTTTATGTTTTCTTTTTCTGATTGGATTGATTTGGACAGGCTGATGGGGAAAGTTGCATCAGATAAGTGCCATAAATGGGTTTTCAAAGAGCCTACAGAATGCGAGCCAAATATTTCAAACTACTGGCAGAGTTCATTTGATGCTGTATGGAAAATGAGAAAACAGAGCTAATTCTTCTGCAACATTTTGATAATTCAGCTAGTTTTTTCTTTTGCCATTTGATTTTGATTTGATATTCACCACTTTGATGGGTTTTCCTTTCTGTTTCTTTGATTGCTAACTTGCAGCTTCCTCCTGAGTGGACTGATCAGTTTGAGTCAGGAATTCAGGTGGATTTTTGCCACTCTCAATGGTTTTTTTTTTCCTGATCAAAATCTTCCTATTTTGCTCATTTATTTGTTTGGATCAGACTATTGCTGTTATTCAAGCTGGCCATGGCCTCCTTCAACTTGGTTCCTGCAAGATTGTTAGTTCGTTTTCCCTCATTTCCACTCACCACAATGATTTCTACTGATTGTTAGTTCTTTATTTGTTTTGTTCCTGCTGTTTGAGCTTGATTTAGTGGGGTTTTGCTGAGGATATGTGTTTATATTTGTATTCAGATACCAGAAGATCTGCATTTTGTGCTGAGAATGAGGCATACTTTTGAATCTCTTGGGTACCAATCTGGTTTTTATTTGACTCAGCTCTTTTCTTCAAATAGAAACACTTCTTCTTCCCCAATGGCTTCAAAGCAATCTGCCATTCCCATTCATCCTCCCAACCTCCTTAATTGGGCACAAAGGCCAATTCCATCTGCTCCATCTTCTCTGCTTCCCTCTCCCAGTTTCCACACCTCCAACAGGCTCGGTTTCCCGCAGTCGAAAGATGAGACGCACATGTTCCTATTGCCGCATTCATCCGAGGCTCGAATGGAAGACGTGATGGGAGACCACGACAACGATATCAAATGGCCTAATGGGCTGTCTTTGTTCAATGCCCTGACAGGACGAGCCGATGACGCAAAGCTTTTGTTCAATCCCGAGAGCTTAGGGACCAAACCCGATCAAACTCACCTCCCTTTGATCCTCGAACCAAAGAACGGGAATCCAAACTCCGACGGTGCAGCTATGCACAACACGAACGAGTTCTTGAGCCTCGACAGCCAACCTGAGAGCAGTAGGAAAATGGAAAACAAGTTCAAGAGAAGCTTTACTCTGCCTGCAAGAATGGCTTCATCGTCATCTTCGACTTCACTCGACCACCATCCGCACCAATCGGTCGAGTATCGGAACTCGGACCAGGCGGGTATGTACCCGGATGTAATGGAGACATACTTGGAATGAAGATGGAAAACAAAGGAGGGCTGCTAGTTCAGTAGAAACGTAGAGTTACTATTAAGTTGTACTTAGGAACAACTTTCTGGTTTCCTTTATCTGCTGCTGCTTTTTCTGTCCAGTGTTTCTGCTATTGCCTTTAAATTTCAGTTAGTTTCTTCTTGGACTTGGAATGTTCTTTTTCTTTGAAGTTCCATCTAAATACATGTCTTTCTCACAATAAATCAAGTGCTTCTTCACTGCAAATACAAAATCCACCAAATTTAAAAACCTTATAAAAATAAATAGTATTTTTTTTTATATTGTATATTTTTCATGGCAATATGATAGTTATTTTCTTCTTTAAGCCAACCTTATAATTAGATCATTTCCTTTTTTACTCAATTATTATGTAGCATGACACATACTAGATAACTTTTTGCGGGCGTGAACTATAACCAAATAGGTAAAAATCACGCCGTATAGATTTGAATACTCACCCCCCTTATTTAAAAAATGAAAGACGTTAAATCGAGATGATTGACTTAGTCCTAGAGCTTGTATGTCAAATTTGTCTTCTCATATGGTTATATATATTGTCAAAGTTCAAAAGTATTTGAATTATTTGAAACTTGTTTGATAATAAGTTTACAATTCATAGTTGTTTCAAAAAAAAAAAAGTTAAAGCTTGTTCACTCTTTAGTTTTTTTTTTTAGCTTATATATATATATAAATATAATTTGTCAATCTCTATCCAGATAAAATTACTTTTTAATATCTTACCAATTTGAATAAAAAAATAGGTTAAAATTAATTAACATAGTCAAACAATTTCCCTTTTCTTTTTTCTTAGAACAGTCTTAAAAAGAGAATATTAACTTCACTACCTATCTCAAAATCCAATTAGATAATATGAAAACTTTAGATTAGAACACATATTTTTTTTCCTATGAACCTAAACTTTATGTTATTTATTTCATACATTGTTTCAACTTCCATGACAGAAGCATTGAGAAAAATGATGTTTATTTTTTTTTTCCCTCTTAGGAGATTGGTTAATTCTTTTGCATAAAGATGGAAAAAAGGACAGAAAGATGATGAGGTTTTATAGCCCTATGTGTTTGTGTGTTGATGAGCTATTTGTCTAATAAGTAATTATATATGTGCTGTCTTTGTAATGAAAAAAAACAACATGAGTAATTTTGATGGGTCCTAAATCTACTACTCTACAACTAGCCCCCTCCAATGGAAGCTTCTCTTTCAAGTTCAAGAAAATTTTTTGTTTATTTACCTAAATTAACAGGTTAAAATACTATTTTGATCTCTGTATTTGAACTAACTTTGATTCGTTTTGGTCCTTGTACTTTTAAAATGTTCATTTTGGTCATGCACTTTCAATTTTGGTTCATTTTAGTTCCTATACTTTCAAAATGTTCGTTGTGGTCACTGTACTTTTAAAAAATGATCATTGTGTGTGTTCCTATTTGAAAAATTTTAAAACAAATTCTATATTTAATGAAAACTCTTTGATATTGAGTGTAGTGTCGTGTTGAAATTAAGGTAGAAAAAATGAGATTAAAAATAAAATTAAGGGATCAAAATGGTCACTTTTTTAAAAGTACACGAACAAAAACAAACATTTTAAAAGTAAATGGATTMAAATGAACAAGGACCAAAATTAGGGCCAAATTTGAGAATTGGCCGGTAAAATATAATGATCTTTGAAGTTTGATTGGTAATGCAATTTTTTTTAGAACAATAAAATTGGGGGTGTGGAGTTTTAAAAACCTTAAGCTTCAAGAGAATGAGTAAATATTAATTACTGTTGAATTGTGTTCATATTGGCGTAATGGAAAATCTTTTATTACTACACGAGGATGGTAAACGTAATATATATTTGTCAGATCACTATGAGTCGATGTTTAAAAAAAAGTTCAAGATCTACCGTGACCATAGTAAATGTCAATGACTACCGCTGAACTATGTTCATACTGGTCACAGTGACCATCCATACGATATTAAAATCTTATATTAATTTTTTGAGAACTAAATATTGTAGGTTAGACATTTGTATGAAAGTTTACCCAAACATTAATTACAATAATATGGAATCTATTTAATAAAATAATAACTTGCGTGATTTATGTGCGATGGAATATGAATGATAGTAGTTGATGCTAACTCCAAATAACTTTTTCTTTTTGAGTGAGGGATGAAAATTAAGGTTGGCGAGAAGATGATAAACATTAACAATCTATAAAATGAAAAAAAATATATATATTACAATTTGCTTTAAGAACAAAACTTGATTTGTTTTTTATTATATTTTTAATAAATAATTTTACTAATATTTCTTCACTGCTAAAAATAAACCACACTTAGAAAGTAGACAAGAATTTTATCTATACAAGCTTTTTATTTTTCTTCTCATCCCTCTCCCAAAAGAAAAAGGTTGTTTTGAGTTTTAAAAAAATTCAATATTTGAGAGAGAAAATAGATATAATATCTTAAAAGAACCTTGCTAATGTCAAAAAATAAAAATAAAAAAATAAATAACAAAACAAAAAAACAGACAAAGAAAGAACCTCTCTCCAACGGTTTTTATTTTTTAACTTTTGCAAAAAGAAAAAAAAAGAGTGTGTTTTAAGAGAATATGAGTTTTTATTTTTTAAAGAGAATACGCAATAGTGGGATAGAGAAGACATAATTAATCGATAAAAAAAGGACATAATTAAACTTTTAATTATAAGTATCTTGGATGACCCAATTTTTAAATTAACAGACCTTACCTTACAAGGTGCAATTGTAGTTGACAAGGATTTATGCCATTTTGTCATTTTAATTAAGAGCCCAAAAACCTATTGAATAATGCATTTAGTAATCTTTATTTGTAAGATAATATTTAGGTATTGATTGATTTGTATTTATCTTTTATTTACCAGAATTAAAATTTGGACAAGTAAGATAGAAAAGTAAAAATAGAGATATTTTCCATTTAATAAGGAAAATCTATCACATTTTTAATAGGACTGCGTAGAGATAGATGTTGACCAAATAAACACTTAAAATCTTTTTTTTTTCATAATGATTTCCAACCTTCTATAGTGATTTAAGTTATGCATGGAAGGTGAGGGGCATTGGCGCGTGCGCTGGCAGGGAGGCTGGTGGCTGTCGATGCGCACACAGAGTGGCATTGGTGGACGTGGGACGCGTGCGCAGGAGGGGCTGGTGGTCGCGCGCAGGTAGGGAGACTGGTGGGTGTGGGGCGTGTGCGTGCAAGGAGGCTAGTGGACGTGGATTACATGAAATAACCTCCAGTGATTTAAGTTATGCATGACGGGCAAGATGCATTGGCACGCGCGGGCAGAGAGGATGGTGGCCATCGGTGCGCCCGTACGAGGTGGTGCTAGTGGGCGTGGGGGGTTTGGTGGGTGTTGGTCACATGTAGAGTATTGGTGCACAAGGTAGTTAAGACACTAATAACGTCCCTAAAGCTCAGAGTTTAAAATCCTCCCCATTGGCATTTCTCAAAAAATATTCATCACATCATTTAGAATATAGTTTAAGAAAACACATTATTATTGGGGAGTTAGGTTTCATTAAGCCTTGAATTGAATTTACCTTCCAAACTCATCATCACATTATTAACGAAAACTTCTCCACTTCTCAACATTCGAGAGAATGAAATTATAGAGATCATCAGATCATATCAACAAAACGCCATCACCAAAAGAACTCCAGAAATTAAATCAAGAGAGATATATGGAAAACCAGAGCGATCGAATCGAAAAGGCAAAATCCAGAAGAAATTAATCAACAAATTCGAATCAATCCCTAAATTCAATCGCGCTTCGGCATCGTCGATTTCGTCTTCCTCGACGGCTCAATCGCATGGCATTCTTTACAAACCAGTATAATCCACCGGAAAACCTTCCTTCCTAACCACATCGTCTTCTTCTTCTTTTTCCTCCTATTCCTCGCCGTTGCCGTCGCCGTCGCCGTCTCCGTCCTCCTCTTCTTCCTCCTCGAATCCGATTTCCCCCCAATATTCTCCACGGCCTTCTTCCTCCTCGAATTCTCGCGGCTCAGAGTCGCCGGCACCGGCACCGACGCGATGAACTGCCATCTCTGAGAGGATCCGTACACCTGAGCGGAAACCGAAGAAGATTTCTGCGCTCTCTTGATCTGATGCGAAGAGAATCTCGACGAAGATCGCTCAACATCGCTCGCGCTCGTTCTCGCGCTGGTACTGCTACTGCAACTACTGTTACTGCTGTTACTTCTCGACGACATGAACGAATCCTTACTCCCGACGCTGCTCGTCCGGCTCGCCGGACGGGAAATGTCGACCGTATAGACACCGATCGGCTGAGGCGGGAAAGAGTGAGGCAAGAGACGGCCATTGACGAACAGATGATCCGCCGGCGAATTGTTGAAAGTGGAAGGAGAATCGGGAGTAATCGATCCGAATTCGAAATCGGAATCCTGATCTTGAACCGGAGTGCTCGGAAACGAGAACATCTCGCCGGAGGAGCTCTTTTCCCGGCGCGTCTCCATCCACGGAAGGCGAAAAAGGTAAAATCACACCAATTTAATTCTCTGTTTCCTTCCATTTAGTTGCATGAAATTCCTTCTTTATATTGGGAGAGAGGGGGAGGGATCCGGTGAGGTAGGGAGTATGGATAGGATATACGTGTAGCGATCTGGGCCATTGAAGGATTTTAGTGATGTGAATGATGGAGATGTGGTGGCCAAAGTCAGGCTTTTAAGAGAAGCAATGAGAAGGGGGAGACAAGAAGTCTTATATAATGTCTAAAAGAAATTTTGTGTTTTGGAAGAATGATGTGCAGTAATCACTAGGTCAAACCTTCCTCGCAGCGAACTTATCCAAATATCATATTGTTTTCTTCAAACAAAAATAAGATTTATAAATGTTTCGATGGATGAGTCTCAAAGAGGATTAGCAAAGACTTGAGATTTCTTGATAATACTGACTTAGAAATCTTAAGTTCGAACCTTATGAGTATTAGTTTGACGAAAGTTTTCGAATTCTACGTATGAGTTTGCACATATATTTTCATAATAAAAAGATGGTATTGAACAAGAGAAGATGACATAGCGGAGAATTAGATGGATATGATCTTATAAAACTATATCATAAAATTTTTTTTTTTATGGTACTAGGACTTGTTTGTTCCCATTTCAAAGAATATAGCTTTAACCTTTGTCCCACATGTTTTTTTCCCCAAGTACACAACTCCCAATAAAATTCTCTCTTTTAGTACCAAAGCAAAGCAAAAGTAAAGAGAGAGGGCCCTTTGTTTTAAGGGTTAGAGGAGAGAAAGGAGTGGACCAAAGCCAAAGGTACTCAAGTAATGGCATATTGGACTGTTTGGACTTTCACAAACCCAATGAATGTGGAGGGGTCATAGGGGCATTGGCTTTAGCTTTGTGGGTGAGGAAAGCCTCACTTCAAAGACTTATAAAAATGATTTTGAAGTTAAAAGAATAATTGGGTTGAGTTTTATTACTTGCATAAACAAAGAGACAAAGCAAGTGTTAAGAAAATAAGTTGGTCTCCCATATGGGTTTCCAAGGTTGAGCCCAAATGCCCCATTTGAGCTCCTCGTCATCATGCCCAACCAATGGACCATCCTTTTGAAACTATTAATATTTTTTCAATACGTAAGTATTGAACTAACTCACTTACATTTTGACTAGTTTCATGAAACAACTGACTGATGATGGTAATGGTAAGATAACTCATGAATTTTTTAATATTCAACAATAAGTGACTACCTTGGAGTTTGAACTCATTCCTTCAAAATTCTTTTATTGTTATTCTTTTTATATATATTTAATTCTAGCTACTAGCTAAAGAGAAAAATCTCTGCTACTACGAGAGTATGAAAACTCATTCCATCCAAAGCCTACCACATTTATCATATATTAAAATGATATGCGGTCCATGAATATTAAAAAAAAATGGTTTACCATGGCAAAATTATAGTGTGAAAAGAGGTAGGACTCTTACTAGTATTGAAAATTTTCACTTAACTAAGCCAACTCAAGTTGATCCATTTCCCTGGGTCATTTACTCTTTATTTTATATCATGTAGCTAGGGCTTAATTAATAATCATTTTTCACTACTATAAAGTTTTCTCAAAGTACCTCTCTTTCTCTTGTTTATTTATCATAACACCTTGGCTTGCTTTGCTTATGTTGGTAGGCGGAGAAAAATAATAATATAATAATAAATTTAGTGATTCTAAAAGCTTTGAGTACATCTCAATGCAAAATTTCTTTTTCATTCATTTTTTAAAAACAAAATTCGATAATTGATGTTTTTGGGGCTCAAAATGCCATGTGGAGAGAGAGAAAAAAAAGTCTAGATAGAGTGAGCATAAAGCCTGTCTAAACCAATTTAATAGACATAAAAGTGAATAAGAGGGGAAGAGGGTGGGCACTAGTTCTTGTTAATGTTATTATTAATTGCTACATAAATAAAAGAGTAGAGCATTTTACAAGAGAAAATGCTTTAACTTTAAGTAGAATAAAATATAATGTTATGTTAGGATTTGTGTTGGCAATAATTTTGATTAAGGTGCTCACTCAAGAAAAAAAAAATGTTGCTTAAGGTGCCGTAAGTGTATTACATGTTGTACACATTAGTGTCGAAAAATTTTAGTCCTACAAAATACTTTCCTCTTTTGTTCACATTATAATTTTGTATTTATATAAATAACTTTTTAATATTGGTGTGTGTATATATATGTGTGTGTGTCTATATATATATATTTAATATGATGGGGATCGAACCCACAACCTCTTAGTTGAAGATATATGTCAATTATCGTTGAACTATGCTCGTCTTAACATATTTTTAATATGATATTGACATAGCAGCGAATGGAAGAAGTTGGAGACCCAGAAAATTTTTTATTTACTCATTTAATAATAAGTAAAGATCATTACTCTTTTTCTATATTCATGAGTGTGCTATACCTCTAATATAATGAGAGTTTTATAGAAAATTTTGTGAATTTTATGTCATCTATGATATAATTCAAATACACGAATTCAAATTTGAAAGAAATCATTTGAATATAATATAATATATTGTATGACAATATGTCTCACTGTTTTTCTTGGCTAGTGTCATTGGCTGAGTGTGAAATTATCCATGTGGTATAATTTACTAATTTTTAATGAAAGTATACTCATTTCCAGAAGGAAAGAAAAAGAATATAAGTCAAAACGAACCTAGCTCAACGGTAGTTGATATATATCTCTAATAAAGAGGGTGTGAAAACATGTGGATTGAAGATTTCAACATATAACCTCCTTTTAACGAAGAATATTTACTTTAACCAGAATCTGAGTATAAAATATCTATTTAAATGGTGTGATTAGTAGAAAAAAACTCAATATTCATCCCTCTCTTTTCGCGGCCCTCTAAATTAAAAAAATTATCTCCTTTTTTTTTTTTTACTTGATTAAAAAATTTCTCTTGATCATGATGTAAAATGATAAAAATCTCGTCACAGTGTCTTTAGACTTCGGGTTAAAACCATTAGGTAAATAAAATAAATGGAAATTGTGTCTAGTAGGTAGGCTTACACCTATATATTTCACAAGTTTATCTTTGTCAATATTTTCAGATTTAGATTGTTGATTTTGCTTATTAAATTACCCTCCCTCATTTATTCCCTCCATATTTATTATTCTGAATTGTTTTTTCCATTTTCTTTATATTTCATTTAAGGTAATTAATTGAGATATGTATTATACATTAGATTTTTTAAAAATTTCTCTATATATGTTTAATTACGACATATTGTATAATTTCCTTTCAAGTACGAATTTAGAATTTCCAAGCATTTTTCTTCTTTCTGTCATATATGCCATCTAACGTATCAGAAAATACTATAGCTGATATATGATATATACAAGTAGATAAAGTCTATAATTAATATATAATATATACCATATACCACTTGGTTACTTATTTAATATATCACTACCTATATTCATAGCATGCATTTATTATAAATATGTTGATCTAGCTATGAATATAAATATAGAAAATGTATTCTTTCAATAAATAAATAAATAAATATATATATATATATATATATATATTATAGAAAAGGTATATTATAAATAAGGAAATTGCAATAGGTCACAAAAGTCTTTTATGTATTTCAAAAAATGTCATTTGTTTTTAAAATTTTTAAATATAACAAAAATTTTCACTTATATTAGTAGTATATCAGATACTCATATCAATAGTATATCAGACACTCATATTAATTAGCAGTATATTAGATATATATTACATACCTATTGCACAGACACTCATATCAGTAATATATCATATGTATATTACATACATATTGCAAGTATATCAAAAACTCATATCAATAGTCAGATATATTATAAATATATATCATTTGTAAAAAGTTGTCATTTAAAAATTAGACCTCCGATTTTTTTAAAAGTGCTATATTTGAAAAAAATTAAACTTGATTGCTATTTTGTTAAATTTACTAAACGTTTTTGCCATATTTGTAATTGATAGTTTTTTATAAACATACTGCCGGTGATAAAATAAAGAATGTAATTGATAGAAATTAAAAAATATATATATACGATGGATAGAGATAAAAAAGCAATGTTGTATGACTCTGCACATCTCGATTCCAAACCTGCCGTACAAACATTTTAAAGAAAAGTTGAAATTTTGTAACTTTCTGCGGACGAATATCTCCCAAAAAAAAGGTTGGAAATTATTATTATTTTTTTAGTACAAAAAAAATTATGGGAAAATTATATTTTTTGGAAATTATATTTGAGGGAGCAATAGAGAATCAAATATGGGAAAATTTTATGAAAATAAAAAATGGTGGGATTTGGTTTAATAAAATTACGTTTTATTAAATCTAAAATATATATATCAAAATTGATACAAATGGAGGCTAGTTTAATCTTTGTCCATGTTTGAGTTTAAAATATTTTTTTAGAGATAGTTTTTAAAATGTCTAAAATTATGGACATTTGTGGAATTATGTTCTCCCCGTATAGATAGTTATCCCTAAAATAAGTCAAGATACATCACATTTCTTACCCCATCAAATAACTATTATCATGACTATACCTTGTTATGTACGTATTGAACTATGAAATCTTTTTTATGATCGGTTGCTTCTAAGAAGCCCTTATGTTTTAAAAATTTACACAAATAGGACTATTCAAGTTCGTTTATGGTGAATTTTGATTTGGTTCGAAAAGTGGTAAGATTCAGTATGGTCGAACTTCTGAAGTGATTTTCGTGAGGGAAGATCTCGAGTATGACCAAGCTTCATGAGAGAAGACTTGTACAAAAGGTTCAGATACTCCGATACTAAAGTTAGTAAGATACCGATTTGTAATCTCAAATTGAGGTTCAACCAGAATGATGAATTAAAACTTAATTTAAACAGGTGTGTTCTTGTCATTGTCATGCACTATAATAAATAATAGGACTCTCATAATATATCTTTAAAAAACTAAAAAGTCAAAATTTTGTCTACTATCTAGTAAATTTTTACTATTAAAATTATTAGAAAAACCAACATCAAGAAGTTCAATCATAAGCTCTTCCTTATGTTTTGGTCCAAAGAAATTCATTGTTTATTTTGTATACATTTTAAATATACAAGTCAACGAAATTAACTCTTTGTTTTCTTTAAAGCAAGAATATTCTTCTTCATTTGATCCTTTAAATTAATTGGATTTTTTTCTTATTCCTAATTTCCTACAACATATTTATATATACACTCATCGTCATCATCAATATCAATTTATAAAATGATATTTTTTATTGAATAAAATGAGTTATTTCGCGTTAATATATATAGTTTCTTCATGCTATTGATTGTTTTTTTTTTCCTCTTAAAAAAATGTGTACAAGTAGATTTTTATGTATGTTCAATTAAACATATAAAAAATGATGAATGAACTTTGATCTAAATTTTAAAAGAAATAAAAATAATTTGGATGATTAAAAAATTGTATGAGAATTATTTCGGGTCATGTTGTCTCTTAAATTTTTTTGTTAGGATTACTTTAATTTTCGTTTTATATGACTTATTCATTTTATAATTTCAAACATGAATATGAAAACAATTTTTTGAAATAGACCTATGATGCTGATTTATTATTTATATATTAGTTAGAATGTATATAATAAATACAACATCTATCTCCACCAAATTGACTTGAATGGAAATATCAATTTATCCCCAATGTCGACTTGAATGGAAATATCAATTTATCCCCCATGTCGACGTCGAATCTATAGATGCATCCAAATGTTGATGGACATACAGATATTTAATACTATGATCTATATTAGCTGCAAGATGATAGAATATGATGAACATGATATAATATATACTATAAACTATATTTTTTTTTTTACAGAATAAACTATTATTAGTTTCAATAAAAATATTATTAAAATTTAGTCTTTTTTTTAACCTTATATTAAAAGGTTAACCTTTTAAAGGAGATCCAAAGAGGAAATATATTGTCTCTTAAATGACAGCACAAAACATACATCAAATGAAAAGAAAACCAAAGTGCTTTTTGGTGATTAAAACTTGCATTATTGCTAATTAATTGCTTTAATTAAAAAAAAAAACCAAAGTGCTATCAATAATTCATTCTCAACCATTTTCAACTTGTCAATCTCCACCTAATTTATTATTAATTTTTTTTCTGAAGAAAGTCTTTACCTAAATTGTTTTTTTTACCAATTAGAATTAATTTATAATATTAACTTTTTTAGTGGAGACATTTTCCACGAGTTCGTTGAGCTTACACAGAAATCAAATTATAAATAATAAATAAATATCAATTTATAGAGATACATACCCATCGATACGTCGACATTTTCATCGACATATCCATATTTCTATTAGTTTGACATCGACATGAGAGATGAATCGATATTTTTATCGTAGTACAAGAAAATCGACAAAATATGAAAACAAATCAACAAAATGTCACTAATATATACATAATATTAATATTAATTATTTTTAACTAATTTAGAAATAGGAACACCTTTATTGGTTAATTTAAACATTTTTTTTACGATTTTTTGATATTTCTAACTTTTACAGAAATATTTTATCGATATTTCCATCGACATCGACATTTAAAATCTTGGATACTTATTACCATATTTAATACCAAGATGTTTAATCTCCACCCTTGGTCTAACTAAAATAAAAAAGAATATATACATATACATTTACATATGCACATATATATATATATATTTTATTAAATTAAAACATTAAGTATTTCTAACACAATAATTAATCAAATTTATTCAATACTGCACCTACCATTTGGTTAATAAATCTTTTTTAGTTGAATGGGTTCAATAAATATGTAATTATTGTTATTAACTAATATATGAGTTAAATGTACCTATCTCTTCTGTTTAAGTTTTTTTTGTCGAGTGATAATTTATTCCTTCTTAATATGGTATCAAAACGTGGGAAGTCTTTAATGATTTATATTTGTTGGGAATTGTAAAATTATCCAAATGAGATCAGTTTAAGCTTTTAGATTGAGCGGTGTTTATTAATCTTTAACCATTATGAAGATGAAATATCTAAAATTTTAAGAGACGAATGAGTAGATGTTATGATATTCATACCTTCTGAGGCTGTCATGCTAACCGTACTAGTGTTGGGAGTGAGAACAGGTGGCTGCTCACCCTGATGTTAATAAATCTTTTAAGACATTAACAATTTATTTGGTAACGTTTTCGTTTCTCGTTTTTCAATTCCAGTTTCATAAAGAAATTTAAGCCTCGACAATTATTTATGTTTCTTAATTTTTAGAAATATTCTCAAAATAGTATAGAAGTTTTAGAGATAAAAACACAAGTTTTTTTCCTTAATTTCATCGAACCATGCAAATATTTTTCAACAAACAATTATCCAGAGATATAGTGTCTTAACTACAATTGTCGATATGTGATCAACATTTCATGTATCGATAGATTCAATATCTACGTGAGAGGTAATTCGACCAAAAGCTCCACAATCGTCTCACCGTCAAAATAGAAGGGATTGAGAGGAAGAATAGAATAGGAATACGACGAAAGAGGGAAAAAGGGAGAGATAAAGAAAGATATGTACGAAAGTTGGAAGAAATATTAGCAAAAGAGGAGCTGATCCAACACCTCCACCTCTCGGGGACTGCGCAAAAAGGAAAACGCGGTATTTTCTCTTCTGCTTGTGGCGTTGACGATTTAATTTAACCCACAATTCTCTAAATCCGTGGCAACCCATCGATTCTTCTTCTATAATTCACCGCACCTTCTCCATTCTCCATCTTCTCTCTCTCTCTGTCTCTCATTCATTTCTGCAATTCTTCTACGCGTAGGTGCAAGGTTGAAGGGGGACTCATGACTGGAAAAGAGATTCTCCACAAGATGAAGGTACGTTTCTCAGATGGGTGCGTTTCGTTTCGCTTGATTCTTTGTTGTATTGCCATTTTGAGAAATGGGGTTTGCCTCCTTTTTCGTTTTTCTTTTCGATTCGTTTGGATTTGTTGATTTGAGGTTTGTGGTATCTTCACTCTTGAAAGCTATTTTTTAATCTGATTGTTTTAGTTTGGAATTTGAACGCGTTTTTTTGCAACTGTTTGCGATCCATTTGTGAATTGAGTTTCTGTGCTCTTGGCTTGAGCTTCATTCTGTAGATGATGATTGCAATGTTGTAAAATTTGCACTGTTTGTTCCATTTTAACAGAACTTTTGTGGGTTGGGGTCAATGCCCCTTGCCATAGAAGTTTTGTGATAAAACTGTTTGCAAAAATGTCCATTTAATTGCAAATCTTTCCTCGACCACCCCACCCCCTGACTTTTCCAAACTGGTTGGGCTTTGTTCTATAATTTTTCCTCTGTATTTCTATGAAGTAATTTGAATTCAAATGCACACCTTGATGAAATATGTAGATTTTTTCACCCCATGGCTTCCGTTTTGATCCTTGCAAGAATTCTGGACATCCAACTTTGTTTCTTCTTTGTAATTTATGGGTGGAAGGTTAACCATCTGTAATATAGTTTTGGTTGCTTTTTAAAGGATACTTTCATTGGGTTGAGCGAGCGCTTGTGCCTTGTAGTGATGGGATTTCCTTCTTTCATATTTACTCCTTAAGTATACAATGGCTTATTATTTCTGTAGCATCACAAGGATTGAAATCTTTAGCATTGGTCTGCTTCCTTTCTACAGGAGAATGAAAGCGTTATACCTTTCTTCCTTTCCTTTTTGTTTATGTTTTCGGTTTCTAGACGTACAGAAAGCTAGAGAGATGGTGGGGGAAACTTGTAGTAATTTGCTTATGTTAAACGAATAAATTGTTATTCTTGCAGTTGATAGGAAATGTTTATAATGGAGAGATATGAATTTTCACCCGGCTATTCTACAGTTTTGAAGAATTTATGAAACAGAAAATAATGAAATCTTGACCTGTTAGGTCCTAAATTAAGAAAATATCCTGACATTGATATAAGTTGGATGAACTGATATTTTATTTGGCAACAAGTAGTAAGCATTGTAGTTTTTCCAAAAAGAAAGTTGTAGGAGGAAGTTAATTCTGCAAATTAGTTGCAAGGGAGCAAAATTTTCACACTTTATATATATAGAATCTTTATTTGAAAAATTATGCAGGGAGCTTTATTTTGTTTTCATTAGAAATATTGACCAACATTGCAATGGACGTTGAATATTGTTAAACCACTTTTTGCCTTCACGTGGTCCATAATATGAGACATAGTCTTTAAGACTTGTATAATGGACAGAGTTTGAATTTTTTCGTTTCAGGAAAAAGTAGGGCTGGGTTCCTCGGACCCCGACTCCGGAAAAGGAAAGAGCAAGATGTCGAAGCATGTCACACATGGATTTCACTTGGTGGAAGGGAAATCACATCATGCCATGGAAGATTATGTGGTTGCAGAGTTTAAGCAAGTTGATCATCACGAGCTTGGTTTATTTGCAATCTTTGATGGCCATTTGAGCAATGCTATCCCCGATTATTTACAGTCAAATTTATTTTCTAATATTATAAACGAGGTGCAATTTCCTGTTCCTTCCCCTTTTAGACCGTATTTTCCCTTCTTTTATCCATTTTGAATGTAGCTGACATGGTTTCGTTAATTTATTTCCCTCTCTTTGTTTGTTCAAATAGCCCGATTTTTGGACAGATCCGAAGAATGCAGTAAGGAAAGCATATAGGGAAACTGACGCATACATTTTAGAGAAGGCTGTTGATTTTAGTCATGGGGGTTCAACTGCTGTTACAGCCATATTAATTGACTGTCAAATACTAGTAGTGGGCAACGTGGGGGACTCCCGTGCAGTTATCTGTAGGAACGGCAAGGCCAGTCAATTATCAGTCGATCACGAGCCAAGCGTTGAAAGAAAAAGCATCGAGAATAGAGGCGGTTTTGTAACAAATTTTCCTGGTAAGTTTGAAGTGAAGGATTTTAAGCTGACGCAAATTAAACATTGCTTGATAACGAACTATATTAACAAGAAAGCTGACTAGTATTGATTTGTTTAAACTTTAAATCCCTCCATCCGTTTCAATGATAATAACCATATTCTTAACAAATCCAGGGGACGTTCCTCGTGTTGATGGGCAGTTGGCGGTTGCTAGGGCATTTGGTGACAGGAGCTTAAAGATTCACTTGAGCTCAGAGCCTGATGTGGTAGTGACGAAGATAGACGACGAGACTGAATTCGTTATCTTGGCAAGCGATGGATTGTGGAAGGTTGGTATTGATCTTGTGAAAGTTTTTCTGAAACACAAACACCTACACATAAACATTTGATACTAGTTCTTCTGATATCATTTTTTTTTGTACTGCTAAGAAGTTCAATCTGCAATTTCAGGTGATGTCGAACGAAGAAGCCGCAGAGTCCATCAGGCAAATAAAAGATGCTCGAGCGGCTGCCAAGCACCTGACAGAGGAGGCCCTCAAGAGAAAGAGCAAAGATGATATTTCCTGTATAGTTGTGAGATTTCAGTGATTCCACCATTATGGACTTCTGGTTCTGTCCCAACAGCTGAAGAATGGAAGAACCTAAAAGAACCAGTTCCAAAGCTCTTTTTTCTTTTTTTTTCTCTCTCTTTTTCTGATGTATAGGGAAGCCAAATAAACTTAGTTGTGGATTTTAGCCAAAAACATGAACTTATATTTCCATGTATCAAATGCTTGTCTTCCATTGATGTTAAACCGTCTGAACAATTTTATGATTCACCACAAATCTGTCCACTTTACTCTAAACCTTAATAACAAGATGATGCAAAATATTTTGGTACATAGACAAAGGGACCACAAAGCAAGAAGCAGACCAGTCCACATTATTTGAAGATTAAGACAGAAAAATACAAAGCATCAAACTTGAAGGAAAACATGGCATTCTATGGAGGTCTTTCATTTCTTAGTGACAGAAGAGAGAGAGCAAAGATTCATGGATAATCTCTGTTTCTTTTTTGGTTTGTTTTCCTCATCTGATATGCAGGTGTTTATAGCCAGAACTCCCTGGAGGAGCCATCTGAATTCTGCCTCTTTGATCTTCCACCAGCTGCCTGCAATGGCTTTCCTTCGACTGTGGGGCAGGTCCTTTGCGCCCTGTGCCTTCCTCGGCCGAGCTCTTCCGCCGACGCTCGTTGTGCCCCGCCAGCCTCCTGCGACAGCTCCTTTTAGCTTCATCAAATTCTGATAACTCGTGGAACCTGATCACCACCAACAACAAACATATTACCATAGACGAACAGAAGAGGGGGAAGAATGTTAACAGAAGTGTTGTTGCTTATATTGTTAAAAGAGGATCAAATACCTGCTGCATTGCTGACAGAAACGCTGGCGAATTCCGGCCACCATGACGACCGCCGCCTTGGAGTGAAACTCGCAGACCTTGTGGCGGCGGTGATACCTCTTTGCTTCAGTCAAATCTGTTGCACAGTTGTGTGCTTGGCAACTTGGCGAAGAGACGCCGCCACCGGACCTTCCACGGCCTGGA